GGAAAATGCAATTAATTCTCAATATTTTAAGGGATTTACAGGCTAGCCTCAACAATATCCAACCAAGAGCTGAAATTATTTTGTTTACACATCACTAAGCTAAAATATGATACCTGTGTTGAAAAACCAAGCTATTAACTTTAAGTACTTTTTAACGTTTAGACACCTGCCTATTGTGAGCAATTCCACACCTACTCACTGGGTAGGCCTTGCTGCTGTATTTACAGTTTGTTGAATGTTCCCTGTTTCGGATTAAAATAAATAAATAAAAGTGACCAAAAAGTTAAATAGTCATTAAAAAAAAGTATCTTTAGTTCAACTGGTTTTGTATATACTTATATAAGACTAAAGCCTTCAGTACAATCACCACCAGTGTGTAGTATTGGTAAGAAGAGCTATCCAAACGTTCCCAAACCCTCACAGCGTTTGGTTAGGTCACCAAACAGCTTAGTAGTGAAGTTAAAGTGCATCCCCACTGGTGAGTGGACAGACTGGAAAAAAGCTGTTGCAACAAAGTTTTGCTAAAGTTTTTCTCAATGGGATGTGGATTCCGTCAGTTCAATGTTTAAGCTCCAGGAGGAAGAACAACAGAAGGGGTTAATGTAATCCATTACATTGGCGGGGGCCTCTAATAACTGGTCTCTCTCTGCGTCTCCATTGGCCCGCGGAGTTTCCATTGTGCTGGCCGGTGCAGGTGTGGGACATGCTTTGTTGATCATAATCCCCTCGGCAAGGGGAGAGGCTTTGAGTGTGTTTGACGTACCCCACCGGCAGGCCCTTTGCTCCTCGGCCGCCGAGCAGCCACCGTCTCCAGTGGCCACTCATGGGATCCGACAGGCGGAAAAATAATGAACAACATCTCAACCCGGAGCTGACCTGGCTCCAATTCACCAGCTCCACACGAGGGGTAAACGAACCACTTAATTGAGCCTTCCAGGATCAAATCATGCCCAAGACCCCCCCCCAAGCCACCCTACTATTTCAACCCTCCCCACCTTCCCACTTCTACAGTACGCAGCCCACCAAGATTTGTTTTTCTACACATGCCAAAACTATTGTTCTCCTTTTTAATTTTAGAATTAAAAGTCAGAATGGTGTTCACAGGTAATGTAACTTGAAGCATTTACTCCCAGATTGAGTGGTGCATGGCTTCTTCTTTAAAATGTTCTCTCTTTCTGCACAATTATGATCAAAAACATCATCAAATATAAAAAAAAACTCCAAAAAATTGACTTTGTTATCACTTTATTAAAGAAAAGCACCTGTAACCTTCTATAGTTGCTAAAGACAAGCCAGAAAGCAACAAAAAAAGAGCACAATAATTTGTGCTATCCTTCACATTACTTTTTCCTTTATTTAATCTTATTTGTTAAATTGAATATTTATCTCCACAGGACTGTAGATGATCATAATAATGAAGTAATAAAATGGTTTTTTAAAGGGCACTAATGCTTCACAGATATGGTTTGGCCTTTACATCAAATTGAAGTTAAGGAGTAAGGTCAAATTATAAAATACTTGACCTAATAGGATGAAAGAGTTGCTATTGTCAGACATGGGGAAAACCTGTTTTGTTTTGACAGTCCCGTGTCCTGAAACGAGCCATCGGCCCGACGCAGCATCACTCTGCTGTGCTTATTTAACATCGCAGTCAGGGATCCTTGATGAAGTTGATCTCCGGCCCTTCATGTGAAACATGCTGACGAGACTGAACAGTTGTTTTCTGTGCTCCCTCTAAGATGTTTCTCATTAGCGAGGCGTCACCTCTTCCCTGTCCATTATCAGAGGAACAATTTGGGTTCGGGGAGAGGAGAGGGGGGGGGGTGTCTTGTGAGGTCGTTTTGGGACTTGAATTCGGCCTACACTGTACAGTCACTGATCGAAATAGCACCAGCAGTCTAGTATTTAACCTGCTTCCCAGCTGGCCCAACAATGCTGCTTTTCAAATGTCACCCAATAGGGCTGCGCGAATGCCAAATTAGGACGGGGTGCCCGATGTACCAGGCACAAAAGAAGGTGATCAAACAGAGCCTGGGTCAGTGGATCCTCTCTAATTGAAAAGTTCACACTTGGCAGCAGGAATGCTCATTCACGGACAGTTCTGGAGAAGTCCACCGGGATGGGAAAAGGTCCGGAACCGTCTGCTCGATGTACATTGACATCGAAGGTCAGATCTAGGTAATCTGACTGTCATTCAGGAGTCACCGCAGCGCTGGAGAGAAGCGCAGAAGAAGAAACACGTTTGAGATGATCGGGGGCATGAACGACGTGCTAACTGATCCATGCTTTTACAGATTAGATCACACTGGAATGACTCTTTGGCTACGAAGCTGCGATCGTGAAAAGCTACATTAATAGGGCTTAATTAGTAGGTCAGATTATTATTAATGAAACAAGGGTCACACAAGTGCATGGCATGAGGTGAAATGCTTTTAAACAATGTTCTAATATTACATTATGACAATATTTTTTCCCCTTTAATTATGTTTGGATCCTCTAAATAGAAACGATACGCCCTCCCACCCCCACGCCCTCCCCAGCAGTCTGCAACCAGTCTCATAACCGAGGGCCAAAAGAAAAAAGACGCAAATCCGAGATAATAAGAAAGTACAGTTATGTCAATTTCACGGCACAGTGCTTAAGTACCTGGACACATGCATGGTGTGAATTATAAACAGTGAAAACTAAATAAATCATCACATCATTGTCCCTAATCTGCACAATGGGTGGCAAATATTTGCAGAGGGAATTTCTCGATGCATCGTTTCTTAGCAGGAACAAAGGAACATGGCCTCCTCTCAGTTTGGGACAAACACTGCTGGAGAATGGAGACAAAGAGATACTTAAGGGGGATATCTTCACCTCTCTTCAGAGAGTCCCTAATTGATACATGGGGACCAGCATAAAGGACAGAGCACAATGGCTCTATTGTTTCACGTATTCTTTCTGTATGAAGTCGTCTGTAAACTGCTGAGTCTTTGGACCGGCTCCAACCTTGAACTTTCTTTCTTAATTTTGGTCAGAACTGAGCACAGCTCGTCTCTGCCTGTGGAGCATATTTAGTATTAGAAGTAGGCGCAAAAATATTAATCTGCTGTTCCCTTTGAAGTGTTGCAAACGTGACAGGAGAAAGGAAAAGTTGCACACAGAGCAGGCTGCAAATTTAAAACAAAGCATGTTTTCGTATCATGAGGGTACAAGTTTAATCTCTTTGTAATGCTGTACAGAAATATTGACAGAACAATAATATAGAAAAAAAAAACATACTTCAGAAATGTACGTGTTGAAAGTTTCGAGGATTAATTTTCCTCAGAGAAACATTTCGTTTAACTCCTTACTGGAAACTTAACTCTCTGCGTTTTGATTTCCTCTAGATGAATATCGCAATCTGGAGATCAGCTGACACTTTAGCCTTGTCAGTAATTCACTGGAGGTCTTTCACTGGAAGTTTGAAGTTGTCTCACTTTTCCTTATAATTAGTACAAAACTGCATATTTCTTTCTGGGGAATTTCCCAAATTCTAAGGAAATGTGAAAGCATCCATGTGAACTTTTTTTATTTTTAGGAACAATTTTTGTTTTGGTGTCATTTTATTTTATTTTTTTTACGTATTGAACACCATTAGCAGTGGCAGATAGAGGCAGGAGGAGGCCCGGTATAAGCAGGCAAACTACCTGGTACTAAAATTGTCTTCTGAGAGCAAAAACCACCCCACAAACGCTAATCGCTGATCTGAAAGTAAGAAAAATGGACTAAACAGAATAAAAGAGTCGTGCTGTAAACTTGACTTTAAACCACTACACTCAAGCCATAGATTCTTGTTAAACTCTGAGCAGAATATTTATAAAAGCTGGAAAAGGAACTTGAAAAGACCCACACAATAAAAATAATATGTAAATAATAGGTGAACATGACAAACTAAAAAGATGTTCATAGTATTTTTTTTATGCAACTTGTTTGACTTTACATCTGATTATTAAATTAAAGTAAATTTATGGGGAATACATTTAAATTACAATGAAGACCTGAATGCACCTCATGCCCTGTTTAAAAGGATGCATGACAATACAGTAGATAGCACACAGCATTTATTTGTGATGGTAGATGAATCTGCTTATGTGCTGAATATAACGTATAAAGAAAAACAAAGGCAACAGAAGATACATAAGCCATTCAGTGATTGTCACATTGAATCCTGAGTGAAACCATAGTGTAGGATATAGCTTTAGTGTACAGATCTGGGGGTTTAGTGAGAGCATTTCTTCTGCGTTTTGCAAAGCTAATATTCTGCTTTAACCAAACTATGTTCAGACAACAGTAGATAAAAAAGCCTATTTGCATAAATAGCATAAATAGTCACCAACTACTTTCATAATTTACAAAAATACATATTTATAAAGCACACACGCGTATTTAAATGAGCCTTAGTGCTGCGGTTTTAGTCAACATGGAGATATTAAAAAAATAAGGCAAGCCCCGTTTAAGTTTACTTGTCTGTGAAATCAGTTATTATGTGTCTAAATATACAAAGAAACCTGTCGTAGTATTGGGCACTTTCATGTCATGTGATTGTTGTTTTGAGGTAATGGCGGTCTCACGAAGGCAACTTTGGCAGATTTGCATTGACTGCGACTCAACTATGTGATCTGATAGAAGAATTTAGCTGCTCCGGAGAAAAATGGGCCACACTTGGCAAATGCATGTTTACATCTTGAGCGGTTTTATCTAAAAAGCAAAAGTAACATATTAAAAAAAATTAAATAAAATAAAGTTTTTCAAAAAATGCAGTTTTCAGTGGCAGCCTTTTTTTTTTTTTTTTAAAAAAAACCACTGATAGCTTTGATATAGTCATGAAAAAGAAGAAAAAAGAGAAGTGCTTCATTTTTGTTACACTTTCAGGCTGACCTTTCCACCGTTTGAATGTTAAAAGTTAAATTAACTTAAAAAATATTTCGTGTTCTTTAATCTGTCTGGCATGTTGATCGGTGAAGGAAGTGTTGTGTTTTTTTATGTGGTGGAGTGCAACCCAGCCTGTACTTAGATCTCGCTGCAGAAATAAATGCATGCAAGCATGCGTTTGAGTCATAGAGCAAAAATAAGTCCCTGCAACAGTGTGACGCTGTGGTTAAAGCAGGTCCTATAGCTCAGTGCCTTCCCTGGGATAGATCAAGCTGTTGACACTGAAACTGTTATAGAAGTGACTGTTGAACTGTCCGCTCTGCCCGCCGCCAAACGTGTTGTAGTACACTCCACGGTTAAAATGCAAGCTCTCGCTGTGCTCTGATGGCCCCGTGTCCTGCCCGCTGTGGTTGGGGTGGTATGGGCTCAGGGCCGTTATGTTCCTGTTCGAGAGCTCGTTCACCAGTCCAAGGGACCCCTGTCGGCTGGGGCCCCCCGAGCTGAGCGTGGACATATTGCTGTAAAAGTTATTAAAACAAGGAGCAGAGGAGGCCAGTCCAGGTGGGGATGCAGATGCGGACGTTTTGTGGTTCTCGCTCATCACTTCCATCTCTGGGGAGGAAGGCCCCAGGAGCTGAGGACTGTCTGAGGGTTTCAGTGGGGCGGCCGCTGTCGGCCTACCATCCTCAACCTTTGTGGCACCCACAGCTGCTGCTGCTGCTCCTCCTGCGCTGCTCTGATCCGATCGTCTTTTCCTTTTCCTGCGGAAATTTCCGTTATCAAACATCTTCTCACAGTTTGGATCCAACGTCCAGTAGTTCCCCTTCCCTGCAAGTGAGAATGAGAGACACATCACAGCTGAATTACTTCAGTTTTGTAATATTGAAACATTACCTGATCAGAATTTGTCTGACTAAATAAAATCCTAAATTTCTTTCTGATGCCATTTTTTAAAGCTTCCCGTCAAACTTTACAGTACAAATCAAAGCAATGTGAATGAACCTTAAAAGAAATGATCTATAAGAGACGTCTGTGTCACAGAAGCTAAGATCCAATAGGTAAAAATGTACTGTATTATACTGCCATCCCTAGTTTCCTATTATCTGCACTACTGGACACTTGGGAGTTCTCTTGGCACCTCTTCCTGAGCTGACTGTCTTTCTAGTCTAGACTGAAGTACAGGTTAGAATGAAAAACAACATTCCAGTCATAGTGTACAATACAAGCACTGCTTTAAAAATACTACAACAGACTACTGAAGGTAGTGCAGAGGAACATAAACTGTACTACATTATTGTATACAGTCTGCTCATATTTATCCGTCTGTCTATATGAAGTAGTGCTACTTGTTTTCCATTGCAATATGAAAAGCACATACCTGGCTTGATCATATTGACTTATTGGCAGTAAAAAAAAAAAAACACTTTACAAAGCAACAAACAGGGTTTTACGCACATATCTGCTTAGGCACATATCTGCTTAGGCACTATAATAATATAATGAAGTTATTTAACTATTCATATTAATTTTTTAAAAGTTTCAATTTTGATTGATTGAACGAAATTTTGTATTTAACTGATCACCACTGAGCCCTCCCGATGAGTAAACTCCATGTATTAATCGCCTCAACACTTTTGATGTACTAATAACGTTTTCTGTGATGCGTTCATGGTACCTGGATCGTCCTCGTCCCTCGGCACTTTTTTGAAACAGTCGTTGAGAGACAGGTTGTGCCGGATAGAGTTCTGCCAGCCCGCTTTGCTCTTCTTATAGAAGGGGAAATTGTCAGCCACGTACTGGTAAATCTGACTCAGGGTCAGCTTCTTCTCGTGCGCATTCTGGATGGCCATGGCGATGAGCGCCGAGTAGGAGTAGGGTGGACGGACCAACTTCAGCAGCTCCTCCTGGCTGGCGATGGACAGCCAGCCCAGGTCGGGCCCGCCGAATCCAGGTGAGTTTGTTATGAACTGCCGCTGCGAGCCGTAAGAGGGCGGGATGAACGACGGGTTGTTGCCGTGCAGGTATGAAGCGGACGAGTTGACGCTCGGCCCGTTGAGCCACAGGTAGGGATTTGGAGACGACGCGTAGTCCCCGAGGCCGTAGCCAGCGGGCCTTTGCGCACCTTGGAGGCTCGGCTGGTGGTACATGCTGCTGAAGTTGTCGCAGTAGACAGCAGCCGCCATATCCGGGGCCTCCTGGGCGCCTTTGGGTGGGAGAGAACCGACGGTAGGGGAGGTGTGGTGGTGCTGGTGATGGGACTGAGGATCGATGGAGTTCATCACTCCCCGCGGGAAATCCTAAAAAGAAATGCTGAAGCGATTCAGGTGTCCTCTCCCCGGTGGTGCGCGCACAGCAGCAACAAGTGTCAGGGAGGATGGAGGAGTTTGGGGAGTTTTAATAGTATAAACCCTTGACAGGAGCCACATGCGAGCGCTTTTCCCAACAGCCAATAAACACACACGGTGAGTAAACGGGGGTGTGGTCACGCTCTAGCTCATTCATCAGAGAGTGGGTCAGCGGTTCTCAAAATGTTTCCCCTCCTTAAACCTCCCGGAGAGACACAACAGACACCCGCTGGGTTCAGATTTTCTCCGAGGGGTGGAAGCTGTGATCATTTAGCCTCAGTCAACAAACAGCGAACGTGGCTCAGACTGTAATAATCGCTTTTAGATGGGATTTCCTGGCCTGCTCACTTAGACCTGCACTAGAATTTACTTTTTTCAAGCCACCGAATGTCCCTTTCCCCCTTCCTTCACTAATATTAAGTACTGTAAACGTTATTTTGGTGGGATTGTAAATACCGAGAGCTGACAGCAGATCTTTGGGCAGGCAAACCCATCACCCGCAGCCATCCAGATTTCTGCCACGCTACCTGTAACCACTCAGCAATCAACATAATGGGCAGCTGTGCAGTTAGATGATTGGTTTTAAGTGATTTTAATTAACAAAAGTCTAACAATTAGTCATTATAAATGCAGGAAATGAATAAAGTGTTTTGTAGTATCCATTAGCTGAATATGCAGTCATGGGGACTATTAAACCTCTCTTCATCTCCAATCAATGAGACTCTTTTCAGGTACTTGAAAAAAGTATCCCTTAGCCGTGCTGAAGTGCCAGAGCAAGTGTGTGGTTAAAGGATGGTAGTTATTATGTTTTCTATGTGTTGTTACTTGGATTTATTTATTTATTAAAAAGAAAAAGCAGTGTTACTGAAAGATAGTTTGCTTTTCAAATCAGTGCATTTCAGTATCTCATAGCTCATAAGACAATGGGAGTATCCACACACCAAAACTCTTAATATTTTGACAAAGCAGATCATGCAGGATTAATATTCAGTGTTTGATCTTCTGGGAAATGAGATGAAAACCTAAAGTAGATTAAAGGAACTGCAGTGAATTATATCCTTCAAGTACGGCAGCTCCTTGGTGTGAGCAGTAGCACTAGTATTGTATCTGTAAAAAACTAATTTCCAATATCCTAAATTTATTTTGTACATTTACTCCTACATACTGACGTGGTGTTTATTTTTTTAAAAACACGACATGGTGAACTTTGACTCAAGGATCCTCATCAAAATAAAACAAAACTTAACCCTTAAACCCAGATTTAAGCACTTCAGTGTGGTTCTGATGGAAATGGAAGCAAAGGCGCTGACACACAAACTGTGTGTACTGTGTATATGTACCACATATACATAGATTAAATATATGTAAATATAAAAAATACATGTTTATGACTCTGTCCTTGACCCTACTGTAATACTGTTTTTTTTATAATAAAGAGATCCCTGTGAGGAGCAGTGATTTAAACGCCCACAATGTGAATATATATTCAGAGGGAAATAAACTCAGCTTGCACACCTGCAGTAAGTCATTTTAATAAATAACATTACTTTCGATATGCATTCTCATAGCGCTCTTTGCTTTATTTTATTAAGGTTTTTGTGATGCTTCACCGTTTATCTCTAAATTAACTGTTCCTGTCTAACTTTTATTCACTCATCTGATGTGAAATCCATGAATTAGATCCTAGTATGTAAGAAAATGATGCTCTAAGATTTTCATATACTCCAGTTAATATGATTTGTGAAGCTTGAAGAATAACACTTCCCAAAGAGGACTTCCTGTTATTGTTCATGTGCTTTGTAAAAGCTGCAATTAATCTGCACCTATTAATATTGTGAACTGTCAAGAAGTCTCAAGCGAAAATTGCTCGGCGGCACAAACATTATTACCCTTAGGCAAGAAATAACAAATCTGTTTGTTTGAAGAGTTTTTAAAGTTGGTTTTGTGGGTAATAATGGTGTCTGGAGAACATTCGGTTATTTGTTTTGTCTTTTAGTCAAAGCATTTCTTCTGTTTTTTTTTAAGTTGATGAAATTTCTTTCATTTTTCAAAATAAAAGATCAGTATATTTTGAACCTGGAGATTAATAAATAACAATAAAAGTTTTTTTCTGAAAAAAAAATATCAGTGTAATTGTGAGTTTATAGGACTTTAAATCTTGTTTTTTGGGTGTTAATAAATGGATTAAACCCCTAGTCTTGTTACTCTTGCTGCTATTGCTACAAATCCCTCTGTGAAAGTTAAAGGTCGACTTCATTCAGTATATTAAAAACAAAAACGTTTTTCTCTATAGTGACACTGCCATACACAAATTACATTTCTCTGATCATTAAGAGATTTTGTTTGTTTTATTATAATTTGATATATTAGTCACTACATCAAGAATTACAAACTTTTTTCTATAAAAAATTGCATTAAACCAAACTATTCTGAAAGGACTTTTACTTTATGAATGCTTATGCATGCCCTGGCTTCGGACCATCAATCAAAATAATCTTATACATGTTTTCACACAGTTTTTCCAAACTTCACCATATGTATTCCACAGCCATGGGAAAGTTTTGATACCTTCCAGAAGGGGGAAAAAAAGAGATGTTCAAGGAGTTTAGATAACATGTCATGAAAGATGAGCTTAAAGTAGAAATTTGTGTTTACTATATTGAACACCGAGGTGCGCCGTATATATGAAATATGTAGCAGGAGGACATGAGGGGCCAAAATGATAAAAAAAACACAGCACACACAGTGGGAGCTGCTTTGAGGATAATGAGATGGCAGCTTTTGTGGTGCTTGAGGAGGATTAAGTCCAACAAGTGTTCACAACTTGACTGATGAGAGAGCTCCACCTACCAACTTTCTGCTAAACTAAAACACACCAAACTGAAATGTAGTGTGAACATAAAGATATCATCTAAATAAGACCCCCCTCCTCACCTCGCCAATTGTGGCTTATAATGAAGATCGTTTCTGGGGTGTAATTATTATTTGGACACAAGCATAAACATCATTATCTACATATTACTGGCTTTAAGTAATAATTTTCCTCTTCTGAACACACTGGGAATACTTTTTTTTAAGGTGATGCTAAATAATGTTTGTAATTATTTTAAATGTTTTTAAACTATTATTACAGTCAAAGGAAATATTAAGTAAACTAAATTAAACAGAAAATAATAAAAAATATTGTCTTTTTCACCTCTTTATTTCATTGTTTTATGTATACCTCTACATAAGTGTGTGTGTATGTGTGTATGTGTGTGTGCTCTCCATCTCCAACAGCACATTACACTTAACACCCTCCACCCCCCAAAAAACACATAAACCCCCCCCAATTTGTACATGGGAATGATTTTAGCTGTTATTTCTTAGAGGATGTTGTCGTCCTGACATTGTTTGCAGGTCTGCGGGTTATATGTAGCTGAAGCTGGGAAAGATAATGGTGTGGTACTGAAACAAACTTTAACTGAGACTGGGGTGGTTTTTTGGTTTTTTTTTTTTAAATGTTTTTAAAATTTTACAACTTTTTAAGCCATTTATGTATTAGCTCATGCATTTCTTTTATTATTAAAGTGGTCTTAGTAGGCCTGCGTAACTTTATAGCTACTCTGTTTAAACAAAGGCAATGATAATCAGTGATAACAGATTTTTTTCTCTACATTGTTTCAGTTTTGGTGGTAATAAACTCAATAGAAAAGTGAATTTTTTTTGTTATATTTGTTGTATAATTATATATATATACACACAACAAAACATAACATAGTTGTACAAATGCAACATTAAAGTACCAAGTAATCCTAAATAACCCCGTACAGAATAGGCTGATGTGGTAAAAGATTTTAATTATTTAAACCTATTAGTAACGTTGATACGTTGTTTGTTATTTAATAGGCTGTGTTACCATCATATAGATTTTTTTGTTAAAAAAATTGCCAAGTTATCAAGTTGTCTTTAAGCCCCAGTCACACAGGCCCAGAGGGTTGATGAACCCCAGGCAACCACTGGCTGTGTGTTCCTCGCCACCCACGGAGTCTCAGTAGTTCTTATTCAGTGGGTGTCTGAATAAGAAATATAATAATACTAATAATGTGAATTGTTTTTGCAGTTTTTTAGGGTATTTTTTTGAATCGGCTCTGCAAACAGCAAAGTAAAAAATTTAAAGACCACAGCAAGATCACTGTTTGTTTCTGCAGTCCTGGTTCCTTTCTTTCTGCCACCGGCTCAGATCGTTGAGAGAAGAATCACTTGTGGAGCCACACTGCCACCTTGAGATGCCATTTTTCTCTGGCAAAGATAAAAAAAAATAACCTCTTCCTTGACTGTTTAGAGTTTTCTGTAGGATATCATACTCGCCACTAGATGGAGGCAGCACATTGCTCAATGTAGAGACTGAAGCCACAGCACAGAGTATGTGGCACCCACAGAAGAGAGTCGTACTGCTGTAAATGTCTTTAAATGAAAGCTCTAAAGAGCTGATGAACTCTTTAAAACTGTGACCTACATGGAAAAATCATTCCATGTGAACTTTAATGACTTCTTCTGTTTTTGAAGCACATAGAGCATGCTTTCCACAACAGTTCTTCCAATTAAGAGTCCATCTTAAGACTAATTATATCCAAGATACCCTGCCTCATGATGTTAAAATAAAACATTTGACATAAATGTTTCTTTAACCGGAGCCTGTCTGCATTTTTCTGGAATCCCGACAGTGTTACATTTCTTCTTGGAGAGGAACTTTCTAATAAAGTGGAGTCAGACCCCTTCTGAGCCCCGCTGTGATTACTTTGGTTGGTATTGACACATTATTTGCCAACACTTCCCTGTTTTTTCTGCATCTGAGACTGAGGTTTTTCTCTAATGCAGCTTTTCCACTGGGATCCAGGCCGCAGAGTAATTGTCCGTGCAGCACCAGGAGTCGCTCTGTCTGACTGTAATTCTATAATATCGGGGTTGGCTATGACAATAATCCCTGGGCTCATCA